TTGGCTCAGAGTTGGCGCCCTTGAGGCTCTTCAGGGAATGTTTGCTCTTTCTCTTTCTTTTGCACATTCGTTGCGTATCGCTGCTCTTGGTCTGCGCCCTCTTTCCTCCCTCTTTCCTCTTTCTTTCCAGTGTCTTTCTTCCCTGTGTTCTCTCTCTCCTCTCCTCTCTCTTTCCTCTCTCTTTCCTCTCTCTTTCCTATCTCTTTCCTGTCTCTTTCCTGTCTCTTTCCTCGCTCTCCCTCTCTCACTCTCTCTCTGCCTATCTCTTTCTCTCCCCTCTCTGAGGTTCCATTCGGGTGGGCGGCGCTGGCGACACCCTGCGGAAGAGGAGAGGGCCGGAGAGGGCCGGAGAGGGGATCGCGGGAGCCGTAAAGTACACGTTCTTGAATTTGGAGTCACTTGTTTGGAAAAAGGTTTTGACCGGAAACGGAAGATCGTGTCTAGGGGTGCAAGGAGTGTAGTTTTCCTTAGAGTTTGGAGGGGGCTCACTCGTTCTACTTTGACTTTGCTTTGGCTCCCGCTTGAGCAGGACTCCAGGGTCCATCATCTACAGCTGAGTGAAGCCGAGTGAAGCTGAGTGAAGCTGAGCACAATTCCAGGCAGAATTCTTTTGGAACATGGTCCAGGGCTGGGCATATGTGCATGCTGCAGAGCATTGGACATCATTGGACATCACAGGCTCGCGTGAAATGGTTGCCGAGTTGCCGGGAATTCTTTTGCATGGCAGACATCTCGCACAAGCTAGAAGGAGACAGGCAACCTGTGTCGCGAGTCAACGTGGCCCAACCAAGCAGTTGGACCACCACCTCTTCCGATGTCGCTTTATTCAGGTTTGGCCTGAACTCAATGCCCCAAATCGCCCAGTTTGGCAAAGCTAGCTAGCAACTGTTGACCCTGTTTGCCTTAGGCACTTGGAAGCAATTTTCTACACTTCCCCATCCCCTCAGAAGCTCTGCTGCCTGCGCCTGCGCTGGACTGATGGCCAGTCGGTTAAATCGAAAATTTTCAGCCCTGCTTGTGGCCATTGGCCTACTGGCAGAGCTGCCGATTCCTTGCGTTAATTCGATTGCGCACCACATTGATTCATAGCAAGCACCACATTGATTCATAGCAAGCACCATAGAAAAGGTGCCTTGCTGCTTGCTGCCCATGGGCTTTGAGTGTCGGTTGCATGCCCAAGAAGACGAGCCTTTCATCTTGGTCTCCTCACGAGGCTGGACAGGCCGGACACGTATCCTGCTTTCTGCTGAGGCGCTTAGCAGCTTAGCAGCCTTCTCGAGGCCTCAGCATGTAGCACCATGCGAAGAAATGAATGCCGCTGCACATACCCCCGTGAATTCATTCGTTGCGCAAATAGGTCACCATCCTCGCCGTCAGCGCCCTCATCACCCTCATCTTCATAAGGCCGGGGGCTTGCTGCTACCCTTTCTGACATGCTGTCCGGTAGCCTTTTCGGCTTTCGCCGGGCTTTCCCTCCTTGTGCGGATATTCATACGTCTCCCTCCCTCTGTGTCTCCAGGTTTCTCTTTTTTCTTTGGTTTTGTGGACACAGGGCCTCGAAGCAATTCGAGGCGGGGCTGAAGTGCTCAATTCGGCAACTTCTCTCTCTTCTCCGTGTAAATGGGTATTTCCGAGAAAAGGCTACGAATCGCCAGACAAAAAGCAGACGCTTTTGTGTCGCCTTAGAGAAGACGAGAAGGCACCGTTTGTTTTTGTTTGTTTTTATGGGGATTTTCCTTTCAAATTTCAAACAAGTTAGAGGTTTGCCTAAGAAACTTCGCAGGTTGCTTACGATGATGGGCTTGGGTCTCTGAGAAGCGTTGGCTGGTTGCTTGATGTGTTTGCGCCCTCAGGCCCAACCATGCACCCTTTGTCTGATGTCCGCGTCTGGTTTTGGCCTATCTTCGACAATGATCTTCCGCGCATCAGTGTCCACCGATCGGGTCGGGCCACTGTCGTTGCAACCGTTCATCCTTACCTGCCTCTGCGCGCATGTCAGCTTGGTTCCCCGCCAGAATATCAAAGCACAGTTGTTCGCAACGCATGAAATTACTTGCCCTTATAAACTCACATGTGCACTTAAGCAACACCCCTAAACAGTCAAAGCGCTCACAACCCTCACCGCCATAGCACTTGCAATCAGCACAAAGCCTTGGACTGCGAAACACGCAAGGCGCATGCCCGTGGTGGTGGTCGTCGTCGTCCTCGTCGCAGTCTTCGTCATGGTCGTCGTCGAAGTCATAGCAGATGTAGAAGTCGTAGTAGCAGTAGTAGTGCATCATCTACAGTACCACTACAGCTGCAACTTCTTTGCATTTGGCTTAAAGATTGTTATTGTTAGTATGTCACGTCTTGCACAAGCAGCAATGCTTCTAGCAGTGGTGGCGGTGGCAGTGCAGCTGCTGTAATTGAAGATGGAATCCGAAGTAGACGCAGATTGTCTTTGAACCAGCAACAAGTCGGGGGGGGGCTGAGGGCTTGTACGCCTAAGAGCAGTTCCATGCTTTTGGCAGGGATCGGCCTTCTCAGTGGTGCACAGGGCATGGGAGCGCTTGAATTCCAGCAAAACTTTTTCCAGTAGCTGGCTTCTGCTTTCAGCATTGCCTGCTGTTTCTGCGGAGGTCACTGTGGAGAAGCCGTTGCCACGTCATCGAGGCCAGAAGCTGATGCCCTCAAAGGCCCTCAACGGCTCTGGGAAACTTTGCATGCTCACTTCGAGGTTCTGGTGTGATGGGGGGGGCGTATGACGGGGCGCACGTGTGCCAAGGGGCGTTGCAGGCGTTACACAGACGACAAGGAGCTTGGCTCGTGTGTGTCCCAGAAAATTGCATTGTGATATTGTGTGCGTCATCGTGTGTCCAAAGACTGGCATCACATCCTTACCCACAGCCAAGCTCCACGATGGAAGCCACTGCCCCAAACCCCATCCGCGGGAGGGCATGGAGATCAGCCTGATCAAAGATGCGTGTGCGTGCGAACGTTTTTGACGGTAGCAAGCGTCGGCGGGTAGCTCTGAACCCACTCCGACGTAAACAACAACAAAGATAAGAGTTTCGCAAAAGGATGTGGTTTCGTTATCACAATAGCATTTGTTTTGAGCAGCTGGGCATCCCATATCGATCGAACCAAAGACTGCGTCGTATTGCAGACAGGTGGCAGCAAGAGATCGAGGGGAAAGATGCTGAGGAGCTGAGGACCCAAGACCAAGTTTCAGTTTCGTCTTTGAAGCCCCCAATGCCGGAGGCCCCGGCTTCCATCCGATTCCGGATTCTGCAGGGGCGCAACGCAGCAAGAGGTGGGCTAGCAGAAATGCAGGTGCTGCGATGATGGTCACATCAGCTCTTCATGTCTGTCCATGCCATACGTGGCCGTTGACCCCGGAGCCTATGGGTGTTCGGGCATCGGTGCACGGTTGGCATGCACCATCCCACTCAGCAGTCATGACCGCGTCAGCATGTCTGTCCATGCCATACGTGGCCGTTGACCCCGGAGCCTACGGGTGTTCGGGCATCGGCGCACGGTTGGCATTCACCATCCCACTCAGCAGTCATGACCGCGTCAGCATGTCCGTCCATGCCATGCGTGGCCGTTGACCCCGGAGCCTATGGGTGTTCGGGCATCGGTGCACGGTTGGCATGCACCATCCCACTCAGCAGTCATGACCGCGTCAGCATGTCTGTCCATGCCATACGTGGCCGTTGACCCCGGAGCCTACGGGTGTTCGGGCATCGGCGCACGGTTGGCATTCACCATCCCACTCAGCAGTCATGACCGCGTCAGCATGTCTGTCCATGCCATGCGTGGCCGTTGACCCCGGAGCCTACGGGTGTTCGGGCATCGGTGCACGGTTGGCATACACAATTCCACTCAGCAGTCATGACCGCGTCAGCATGTCTGTCCATGCCATACGTGGCCGTTGACCCCGAAGCCTACGGGTGTTCGGGCATCGGTGCATGGTTGGCATTCACCATCCCACTCAGCAGTCATGACCGCGTCAGCATGTCTGTCCAGGCCGTTGACCCCGGAGCCTACGGGTGTTCGGGCATCGGTGCACGGTTGGCATTCACCGCGTCAGCATGTCTGTCCATGCCATACGTGGCCGTTGACCCCGGAGCCTATGGGTGTTCGGGCATCGGCGCACGGTTGGCATTCACCATCCCACTCAGCAGTCATGACCGCGTCAGCATGTCTGTCCATGCCATACGTGGCCGTTGACCCCGGAGCCTACGGGTGTTCGGGCATCGGCGCACGGTTGGCATTCACCATCCCACTCAGCAGTCATGACCGCGTCAGCATGTCTGTCCATGCCATGCGTGGCCGTTGACCCCGGAGCCTACGGGTGTTGGGGCATCGGTGCACGGTTGGCATGCACCATCCCACTCAGCAGTCATGACCGCGTCAGCATGTCTGTCCATGCCATACGTGGCCGTTGACCCCGGAGCCTACGGGTGTTCGGGCATCGGTGCGCGGTTGGCATTCACCATCCCACTCAGCAGTCATGACCGCGTCAGCATGTCTGTCCATGCCATGCGTGGCCGTTGACCCCGGAGCCTATGGGTGTTCGGGCATCGGTGCACGGTTGGCATGCACCATCCCACTCAGCAGTCATGACCGCGTCAGCATGTCTGTCCATGCCATACGTGGCCGTTGACCCCGGAGCCTACGGGTGTTCGGGCATCGGCGCACGGTTGGCATTCACCATCCCACTCAGCAGTCATGACCGCGTCAGCATGTCTGTCCATGCCATACGTGGCCGTTGACCCCGGAGCCTACGGGTGTTCGGGCATCGGTGCGCGGTTGGCATTCACCATCCCACTCAGCAGTCATGACCGCGTCAGCATGTCTGTCCATGCCATGCGTGGCCGTTGACCCCGGAGCCTATGGGTGTTCGGGCATCGGTGCACGTTTGGCAGCTGCAATCTCACTCAGCGGTCATGACATCATTTGTGGTGATGGAAGTGGCTAGGCACGATCGGGGGTTTTCAGACCCTGCCGAGGCCGCGAGGTGTCGAAGGAAAGCCAATCATCGAGGCAAGCTTGCGCCAGTGTGGACTTGCACAAGTAGTCTGTTCGTATGTGACCGTACATGTCTTGATTGTTTTGCAACACCTCACACTGAACCCGCAAGAGGAAGCAAGCAAGTAGACATAGCAGGTAGGCTGTCTATACTACGAGTCCCGTAGCCACTGTGTTTTTCGAGTCCGCCTGGAATTTGACAGTGATGTCGTCTACACCGGTCTGTTTCAGACCGAAGACACCCATTGTTGCACGCCAGAATGGGCCGGCAAACCGCCAGGAGGCAAACTCATCTGTATGGAGGAGAATCTGGGCGTGAGCGCGATGACATCATCGACAGTTCCTTCGTTAGACCCCCACAGACTACTAACGGTGGTTATAATACGCCTGCTGTTATTGATCACAAGCGTTGGCTTCAGCTCACCCCGCTTTGCTGTGCACCACTTGTTGCTGCACGTTTGACAAGCGGGGGACATCCATAGGCCACCCCCCGCATTTTCTTCCACGCATAACAAGCAAGTCCAAATCTCGCCTTGTCTGGACGGTCTACCGCCACTTCCCACTTCCTCGCGCGACCGGCGGAGAAGCAGGATTGCCCGCGATACTCCAAGACCGAATGCTCATCATTCTTTAACGTGCGCTACGGGCGTGACCGGCGGCGCAACGGTGCAGGTCCTTGTGCGCTAATTCCACCTGCGCTTCAGTGACCAGTGCGCTGTTTCGGCTTGTTTTTTCCAATGCTTGGGTATGCCTGGGTCAGAAGCCAATTAAAGCAAGGTTTGGTGGCAATGTTGAGTTTGGCGCGGGTAATCCGAGCATCTGTTTAATTGGTTGGCCCCCCCCCCACCGCAATAAGAAAGGCAGGGCGCCGCAATAATCAGATCATGGCAACGTAATGAGTCTCCATTAGCAACAATACGCTGAGCCCTGAGGTGCTGCAGCTTCGCAGCTCAGCAAGCAAAACAAGATGCCTGCCGACAGATTTTTTGAAGCCCCCCCGAAAACATTTTCGTTAAATGTTTGGCCCATACGAAAACCCCCGCAATGGAAAGTAGTCTTCCGGCGGGCTTCTCGACGAAAAAAGGTTCTTTTAATGTGAGGTAATACTTAAACAGATGCTCGGATTATGGCATAGGGTCAGAATGCGCCACTTTGAGAAACATGCCGAGGGCCAGAGTGCTTTGTGGGGGTTTTGACTAGTTGCCAGCCTGAGCCTCCTTCGCCCGCAACATTCTGGTACAGTTGCCCACCTGAGTCTCCCGGGTCTGCATATGTCCTGAGCACGTGGCGTCACATGATGCGCCGCCAAGTATGTCCGACAGGCGGGTGCGCAGGACGGGGCCGCGCTTCGTCTTGCGGAGGCTGGAAAGCGGTCGCGCTACCCTGCGGTCGCCGCCGCGGGGCTGGATGCGGTCGAGCCCTTTGCCGTTGAGACATTCGGCCGGCTCGGGCCGAACGCGGTGCGCCTGCTCCGGACGGCGCGGCAGCAGGCTGCGGAGCAGCAGGCCCCGTATGCTCGCTGGGCGGGCCCTGCCTTGCACCAGAAATGGCTCGCGTCCCTCAGCTGCTCGCTTCAGCAGGCCCTGTATGAGGCCTCGAGAGCTAGCTGGGGGTCGCGGGCCATCGCCCCTCCCGAAGCTGACCTGAGTGGGTTCGGGCGTTAGGGGTAGGTTGGGCCGTTTGTGGCACTTTCACTAGTTTTCACACAGAGACTCCAGGACGAGTTGCTTGATGCGTGCCACTTTTCCTCACGCATCTAGCAGCGCCCGCCGACGGGGCCCGGGGCACGCGGAGAGGGTCCAATACCCTGAAGTAGGGAATATTCCTGAAAATTGTAATAGGGGGATCCCAGGAAGCAAACTCAAGGACTTGAATTCCAGAAAATTTCTGGGCACAGCGGGGCCGCTGTCAAAAGGCTCCAATATCACTGAATGGTTATATAGATTATATATATATATATACATATGTATATATATGTGTGTGTGTGTGTGTATATTCATTGCATTGTAATTTCTGGGCATGGCGGGCCTCACCTTGCGTGGTCAGCCTCCAGCCACATGTGCCAATTGCAAACAACCAAGCAAACATCTCACACACTGTCTGAGTTGCCTCCACCGCCTCCGCCCGCTTCCTCTCGTCATCTGAAGACACAAAACAATCCAAATCTCACCCTGTCTTTTTCCTCCCACTTCCTGTGGCCGCTTTGAACGAGGAGTGTAAGGCTACATAGCACGTAGAAGTGCCCAAACCAGGCTGGATTTGGATTTGGTTGTTTTTTTTACCTGTGGTGCGATTTGATTTGTTGTGCCCACCAAGCAAAGCTGATGCTAGCGTGGGCCACCTCCGAAAACCCCCGGCGCAAAACGTGAAACACGCCGACCAGTTGGAGCCTTGTGTGGTCAGCAGACACAATTCATTGCATCGTTGCACCCAGGCCCTTGCTCTCGCCAAGCCCCAAAGCCAAATCACGCAAAGGGGGGTCTAAACAAGGTGAAATTTGGAGGAGATTGGAATGATTTGGACTTGCTTGTTTCTTTTTGTGTGGCCTTAGAGCGAGGAGTGTAGTGTTATACATGGCAAGAGGAAGTGGCTGGCGGTAGCCCAGACAAGGCTGGATTTGGATTTGGTTGTTCTTGCGCGTGGTGTTGGCGCGATGTGTTGATATTTGTTGTGCCCACCATGCAAAAAGAAAACCGCCGCGGGCCACCTCCGCAAACGACCCGACGCAAGAAGTCAACCGCGCTGACTGGTTGGAGCGTCGCGTGGTCAGCAGACGCAAGTCATTGCGCTGTTGCACCCTGGCCCTTGCCCTCCAGCCCAAAAACCAAGTCACGTGGAGGCCACAGCCCAAACAAGGTGAGATTTGGAGGAGATATGGAATGATTTGGACTTGCTTGTGTTGTGTGGCCACATAGAACGCGGAGTGTAAGGCTACATAGCACGTAGAAGTGCCCAAACCAGGCTGGATTTGGATTTGGTTGTTTTTTTACCTGTGGTGCGATTTGATTTGTTGTGCCCACCAAGCAAAGCTGATGCTAGCGTGGGCCACGGCGCAAAACATGAAACACGCCGACCAGTTGGAGCCTTGTGTGGTCAGCAGACACAATTCATTGCATCGTTGCACCCAGGCCCTTGCTCTCGCCAAGCCCCAAAACCAAATCACGCAAAGGGGGGTCTAAACAAGGTGAAATTTGGAGGAGATTGGAATGATTCGGACTTGCTTGTTTCTTTTTGTGTGGCCTTAGAGCGAGGAGTGTAGTGTTATACATGGCAAGAGGAAGTGGCTGGCGGTAGCCCAGACAAGGCTGGATTTGGATTTGGTTGTTCTTGCGCGTGGTGTTGGCGCGATGTGTTGATATTTGTTGACGAAACAAGTCAACCGCGCTGACTAGTTGGAGCGTTGCGTGGTCAGCAGACGCAAGGCATTGCGCCGTTGCACTCTGGCCCTTGCTCTCGCCAGCCAAGCACAAATACGATGCAGGTGCGGTTGTTAGAGTTGGGCCAGGGCCAGGCGCATCCGGACGCATCTGAATCTTGCAGGTGGTCTGCGGATGAGTGTGGTTGCTAGGTTTTTGGCCTGGGGAGGCAACTTCTCAATTTTATGCTGGGTGGTCTGCCGATGGTCGCGGTTCTTGTTTTTTGAAGCTGGCGTGTGTCATGATTGTTGTGAGTATGTTGTTCTGTTGGTGCGCTGTTGCTAGATGACTGCGCCGCTTGCACACGGCTGCTTTCTTTTGGATGCCCACTTGAACGGCTCTCAGCATCTACAATGTGCCATGGGGAGGTACGTCGGCAACATGGCCGACACTGCGATGCTGCATGCTGGCCAGTCCTTGCTGTGCGAGCGGGTCCGCCGCCGAACAAGCGGAATCAGTCGTAGTTCACCGGCAGGTTGGACATCATTCACACATAGTCAAATGCGCTTTCGGGGTCAAATCGGCCTCAGTGTTAGGCTGGTATAGGGCTGCATTGGCTCGGGCACAAACTGGGTCTAGCCGCTTCATAGTGATTACGTCTGGCCGCATGAACGAACCAGGCGGGAAGTGCGGGAGAGAGGTGGAACCTGTTGCGCTAGAGCTTTGCTTCACGGGGAGCAATACACGTCCAGGCACAAAAAGTAAGGCTGAAGGTAGTGAAGGCGCCCATCATTGCGTAGACCTGTTCTTGTGAACTGGGATTGGTGAGAAAAATGAATGGGGACAACAGTGGCCGGCCATTCCGTTGACACAGATAACAAAGCAGTGCGTGAGTGATTCTTCTTACGCATAGATCCGGCGCAAGAAACAAGGCATGATTCTGCAGCCGTGGCAGTGTTTGCAATTTTGCAAAGTCCACAGGGCATGCGTGAGGGTTATCCGCTGTCGATATTCAGGCTTCGACCCTGGTTCGCCTGGTGTGAACTGGAGATTTGTGCTCGGTCAACTGCTCAATTCCATGTAATCGACTAAGAAACCATGTGACTCACATTTCGCGCTGTGATCGACCTGAAGGCCGAAGTTTGATCTCAGTTGAGTTCGCGGCCGCTGAGGATTGTTCGCATTGGCTTTGTTTTGCCTGTGCTACTTGGGAACCATGCTAGGTGCTTGTGGCATGGCCAGCTCGCTGAAAGCCTTGGCTCGCAGCGCCAGCTTATCTAGCCCGCTTTCCTTCGGTTGGTTGCCCATCCATGTCTTCACAGAAGAAGAAAGAGCGACCGCCGCTACCAACTGACGTGGATGTGCTGTTCTTTGGCATGATTTAGAATTGAGAGTACTTTTGATTACCTTCCGTACCGTCCAGGTTGATGGAGTTGCAATTATTAGGAAGGCAGGATGAACGGGCTGGAACTTGCGCTCTCACAATTGTCTGTACTCATGTTCCACCATCAAAGTCAGCTTCATCGAAACGTTCGCCGCATGTAGCAGTGTAACCGGGTCACCGAATCACCCTGCAGGGGTGTCTCTTGTCTGCAATGCCGAAGCAAAGCACCAGCCGGTCACCAGCCCCAGCTCATCGCTGCACATGGCCCACCCATCTGGGAAATGGCAGGAGACAAGAGAAGCTTGCAAGCGAGGTGCGGGGACAGAGACTTCCCGGGAGCTTCACCAAGTCGCCCGGTGCGTCGACCGACTTTCTCTTGAAGGGAGGTGGCTGCTCTGTCTCGCCGGCGGAGGAAGCAGGTAGGTTCAGCCTACGTACTGTACAAGCGTCCGCGTACCTGAGTGCGCAGGGAAGAGGAAAGCACACGACGCAACGAACACCATGCAGAAATGTACATAATGTACTCGAGCTGTTCCTGGAAAGTCATGGTACTTGTGTTCTTCGTCTCTTCTAGTGTTCGTTTAGGAGATGTAGGAGTCAGCTTTAAGGCCTTAGAGCTTAGCCCTCACCTCTTCTGAAAAGGATCATTGGTGCCGGGCCTCATGGCTTGGCCATGGCCTCCCGGCTGCTCCTGGGCGACAAGGCGATGAGCGACGTGATCCCTCCGCAGGAAGCTCGGCCCTTGTTACAGCGTTACCTCGGCTTTCTTTTGCAGAAGCCCCCTGCTTGGAATGAACGTGGAGTATAAGCTTCGCGGGTTGGTCACGGTGTTCGAGAGGGTTGGAGGGATCCGAATCCAGGAGAGCTACGTGCGCCGGCCACCGGAAGTCCGAGCCCACCTCCAAAAAGCACGGCGAGCATCCTTAAACTTCGCCGTTGTGGATAGCACGGGCGCGTGGATGGGGCGATGGGCCCGCCAGTTCCAGGCTCTGGGAATCTCGCACTTGAGGTCGCATGAGATGATGCACCCCGACGCCTTCGATCATTCCACGTTGTCTGTTTGGGCGCAAGCGAAGAGGCGCAGTGATTTCCTGTTCTTAGAGGACTTGCCGAAGAACAAGACCTACCACGGACCCTTCGTGCTGCCCTCGAACCGGATGATGCTGGACTTTTGCAAGGATTTGGTGAGGTTGGGAGGCCTAGACGACAAGCTCTGGACGGGTCAGGCAGAGTCCATACGGCCCCGAGGCTCTTCCATGGAGGTGTTGTTGCGCACAGCCGAGGGTGCACAAAGCATTCTTGCGAAGCACGTGGTTGTTGCCCGTGGCCCTACCTGGCGTCGCCAGTGGCCGGCTTTCTATCGGAACTTAGAAGTTGTCGCGACTGCTGAGATTTACCATGCCTGGGACCTCTTCGACAAGCCTGAGAAGATACAAAGCTTGCGAGGCCGAGGTGTGATTGTCGGTGGTGGCCTGTCGTCGGCCCACCTGTGTGTACAGCTTGCGCAGCATGGTCAGGTAGACCTTCTGATTCGCAGGGCCCGGCGTGTGAAGCAGTATGATTTGGGATTGACGTGGATGGGCTGGAGACGACGGGAAAACCGGCGGGAGTACGAGCAGTCTTCGGCCGAAGAGCGCATGGCCATCAACAGGGCCGCCCGCGATGGTGGGTCCATCTCCCCTGAGCTCAATGCAGCCGTATCGGAGCTGGAGGCAAAGGGCTCCGTGAAAGTGCATGAGTGGACGGAAGTGGAAACGGCATGTTTTGAGTCCGGGTTATGGACGATAGCCCTCAGCAGTGGTGATGTGATCGAAGCGGATTACTTGATTTGCGCCACCGGGGCACTTGTCGACACCTCGACAGACCCGCTGCTCACGGAACTGCAGAAGATTCACCCACTGCCGATGCGGGGAGGCCTGCCAGTCCTCACTCAGCACTTGCAGTGGGGCAAGCTCCCGGTGCACTTCATGGGGAATCTGGCTGCCTTGGAGTTGGGCCCCGACGCTGTGAACATGACCGGGGCAGCCCGTGGAGCGCTTCGAATCTCCCAGGCCTTGCCGAAGGCTTTACCGAAGGAGCAGGGCAAGGAGCAGGGCAAGGAGCAGGGCGGTGAGCAGGGCGGTGAGCGGTGAGCGGGCGTAAGCGAGCCGAACATGAGGGGTGTTAATCTTGCATATTTTTGTCACTACCACGGCCCTGGCGGTGCTCTGCTGCACGCACGGGCCCTTGAGAGGAGAAGCTCGACTTGCACGTGCATCAAATTTGACTGGGTCAACGAGAGCTTCTGTTATTCAGCAAAGCTTTTGAGACCAACTCGGAGGGTCTTCTTTTTTTCGGGGTCGCCCCAAGTGGGGGCATGCCCGGGCAAGGGGAATCCCCTTTCCAATGTGAGATGCTGGCATGGCCCCTAAGAGCTGGAAGCATATGCCAGCAGAAGCACACAGGCTGCTGTTTCGAGCATTCTGCCAGCTTAAGAAAAACGTATTCATGAAAGAGACTGACTAACTGAGCCGTTATGGCGAGGTGCTCCACATCTGCGTTTGGTGGAGGGGTTGAGTTGGGGATAGGCGACCTTCTGCTGTATTGCGCCACTTCCACTCAGTGCTTGGCCCTCGAGAAGACTCAGCCACAACCAATGCCAAGCTTGCAATCGTGCAAGCCGAAACCCGTTTCTAGCCGGGCTTCCAAGCTAATGGCAGCCTCAACAAACCGCAAAGTCAGCTACAAATTGTTTCAAAAAAGCATGGAAGTGCACGCACCCACAACACCGCAATATGACAAGGCGCAAGTTCATCAATGTGCCGTAGGACATTTTTGCCAACATGATGTCCTGCAGAGGATGTTCACATACGTATACAGTCACACTGAGGCTTCTCAAGCCCTTGACCCCACCCAAAGTAGACCAGTGGGTGGCAGCCCACCGCCAGGATCACCATCAAAGCTTTACCGCGAAGCCGCGGCAATCCGAGTGGGCGTGCTGCGAGCCTCAAAATGCAGCTTGCGCCGCCCAGCCCAGGGTTTGCTTTCAGGCAATGTTCAACTGACCGAAGACGGCAGTTTCAAGGCCGAGTCGCTTTCTTGTGTTCTTTGGAGGCAGGAACCCTTGGGTTGCCCGCCATCTCCTAGCTGTCAGCTGCATGTCAGCTTCCAGCATCTGGTGCCGACTTTACGTTTCACAAGGAATACGTGACACCCTAAACCCTTGGCTCAAGCCAGAGAGATACGTGTCCTTCAACAACCATGTGTCATGACCAAAAAGTAAAACACATACACTTCACAATATGCAACATGAGTGTCATTCGCGACCACGTTCATGCAACTGGTGCCAAGAACCAAATAGCAACAGAGGCAAGAAACACCAACGCCACGAACAAACACTGGCTACATCGTCGCCAGAACGCACGCAATCGAGCACCCTCGCGAGTTACGGCCTGTGCGCAGAAACGAGGACGGCGTGGCGCTTCACACGATGCTGCGGTATTTGCTGCCGCGTGGGCGCTGTCAGGGAGCGAAGGCCTTGAAAGTTTCAGCTGGGATCATGCTTGGTGGCCCCAACGGCCTTTGACCGTCGAGTCTAGAGGCCGTTCGAGGTCTTCGCAACAGCTGTGACGGTCTGCAAACAGCGCCAGCACAAGGCGTGGCGCCGTGCCCCACGGCTCCATACTGCTTGGGCCAGAGCTTGAAGCTTTGCCTCGACGCTATTGCCAGGAACTGCTGCCATACAGCGTTAGCTCGGCCGGCATCGACTTACAAATTTTCGCCGGCGATTGTGATCGCGATGAGGACTGTGCGGGCGAGCTTCCTGTCTTCGAGCGAAATCAGCCCGGCCCCTTCCTGCGCTCTGCTTGCGCTGCCGGCTGTTCCCTTCTACTCAAAGCCTGTGCTGCCCGAGCTGCCGGATCCGCCAAAGAACAAACACCGACGCACAGGCCATCAGCCCTTCTTGTTTCTTCACTGCTGCCATGACAACGTCGGTGCGCAAAAGATAAAGGAAGAGTTGGAACATTCTCGACCCAGCGAATCACTTGCAAAAAGTGCTGGCTCTTTGCAAAGCACGCTTCTTCCCCTGGGTTTAGGGGTTTGGAAGTCCTTTTAACGGTTCGCACCAGTGCTTGTCAGCGCGGGGTTTCAAGGGGCCGAAGCCTGTTGTTGCATGTTTTGCTTCCTTTCGCGACTTCTAGTCTCAGGGTCCTGAACACAACAGGACCCAACATGTGTGCAGCTCAAGCAGCTTCCAGCCGCAGTGGCATCATGGAATATTACCGCATGTTCCGAGGCACAAGTGTACGGTTCACGGTGCTGTTACCAGACATGCCCTGACAAGCAACCAAAACCAACATTTTCAGGAGGCATTGCGTTGTTGCACCCTGCGTTTCAAGTTTGCTTCAGATGGCGGCAGGTACCATGTGTCAAGGCTCGGCGCAAGAGCCTTGCTGTTTGGGCTGGTTTCCATATGCTTCGTCTGAGGTACCTCCATTAACTGAGACAGGTTCTGCAGACTAGTCAGTGACTAGTCGAACATCCAAGAATGATCCAGGCCGCCTCTCCCGCCTCTCCAGTTGTTTCGCTGGTCTCTTCAGAGCACCGACCTCAGTCCATGGAGTCGTCTTCAGGGTGCGAATCTGAGAAAAGGTGGTCATTTTTTTTTTTTATATTTACGTCAGCCTGCTATGAAGCACCAGCTTACACTGCTTATGTGCCTCCGTTGCGCGGGTCGAGGTTCCGGCAAAGCAGCTGGCAAGGCCAGGGAACTTGTTGGGTTTGTAGGTACAGTCAGCACTATGAAGGCCTGAGGTGTTGACTGTCCTTAAAAAACCAATCTTTTCGCGACGGCCTGTCTGCATGGGTTTCATTCAGACAACACAGTTTAAACAGCAATTGAACTAATCAAACTAATTCAGTTGCTTCGTTAAAAACGTTGATTTACGCAATATGGTTCATGGAATTCATGTAGTTCAGGGTCTACTAACTTAATTCATTTACTTCTCCAGTAAACGAATCAAGCCGTTCAACAACCAGAAACCTTAACTGAATTGAGTACGACTTGTAATTCGTTCAGTTCATTCATTTCATTTAGTTCAGGGCCTACGGTTGTAACTCATTTCCTTTACCTTTCAGAAAAAAACCGAAGGAAACTGTAAGTTCATAAACAACATAAGTTCATAAACAAAAAACCCTTAAGCACCGTATTTGTTAACGACCACAACGAAGATGATGTGGACACATTTTAGCTAAGCTAGCTAATGCGTAAATGAAGCGAGTAGATCCGGTTTCCTGATAAGTATACTGCAACTAGTCGAATGTGCTCTGCAATCATCAATCATTTAGCCTGGTTGAGGCGCTGAATGAAATAGAGGACCAATTTAGCTAGTTCACTGTATTTTAAGTGTTTAATTCTCGGGAAGGGCCTGTGTAAGTATTCTGTTGTAAAGTTATTAAAGCAGTCAAACTAATTCAACTATTTCTTAAGGGTCGTGATTTGTGTGATTTAAGTCATCGAGTTCATTTCGTTAAAACTAAGGGTCTACTACTCAGTTTCATTCATGCACTTCACCCCTCAGAATGAGGCCAGAGGATTTCTCAGAGAAAGATCTCCAAGGGTGTGACCTTTTAATATAAATTCCGTATTAGGTTAAATATCACTTTGATGTGCCCGAAAGGCTTCCCGACCTAGATCATGGGGTGGAGGGGGGTGAGCATATATATATATATACACAATACATAGAGATGCATAAATAGAGATCATGAGCCGCCGGAATCTATGCTTGTGGCGACAGTGACGGGTGAAGCAAAGAAGACGCCGGAGGATGATAATCAGCAGCGTTGGTCGTTTGGATGTCTGTGAGATAGCGCTCACAAGCGGCAAAGTTCGGAGCTTCCAGTTGGAGTTCTAGAAGAAATATGGATCCATGTATGCTTTCCCGGAGGTTGATTCTTTTGATACGAACCTTGCTAAGCGGTTATAGATGGCTCGAGAACATGCGAACTTCGACCGGGTGGGAGAGGAATTGCACTCGCTCTCGCGGCATAGAACACGATCAGCAAGAGACGTTATGTGATGCATCGTATGGAAGAGAGTTTTCATCCTTGGTGCTGGTCGCTCTCGGACTTCTTTTGCCAGGCCCCTGGATGGGTTGGACACGCCCAGCAGCCATGAAAGCAATCGGAGCCCGGCGCAGGACAGACTGCCGTCAACAGCCCCTGTAGTGCAAACATGGCAGGAGTGGCAGCAAGAGCCCCGCAGTCCCGCTTGAAGTCTCCTGTTACTTTTTTAGTTATTCCGAGGCGGCGAGCCTCCCTGGCGACGTTGAGCCGTGGATGTTCGGCATGCTCTTGCCGCGCGTGCAGCATCTCATTACTTCTTGCTGAGAGCCCGTCCTCCGCGTCTGCCTGCTAAACTTCCTTGACGATGGAGATGATTGCAGCGATGATCTGCTCCTTGAACCCAGGCTGGAGCGCAAGCGCGATTGGACGCCAGTGGCTTGCGACGCGTCTTCTGGCTGGATACCGACAGTCGAGCTTCGTATCTGTTGGCACCAGTTCCACACCAGCCCCGCAAGCTCAGGGACTCACCTGGTTCTACGTGCACCCCGGAGAGTCGTGGCTCACCATCGCAGGACAGGTGCTTCAAGTTGTAGGTTGAGACAGCTGCCCGTGTGCTGCTCATGACTCATAATCAGGACTGCCAGTCTCCAGACCAGAGTGGGCAACGAAATCCGTTGGTCACTCCCGAATCCGAGCTCGAAATGCCAGTGGAGCGAGCTATGGCTACACCGGTTCTGTTCACCTCCGGCGCTTTGACGCTTTCTTGCACAACAAGCCCCAAGCCCCCCCCCCGCCCCGTCCTGGAGTGCAGTGGCCTGCAACATCAGATTCTCCGACACTTGAGGCCGCTCGAGCTCGACCTTGCTGATGCTCGTGGTGACGCATCGGAGGCAGTGTGAACCTGTGAGAACCTGGGGCTTGAGCATGTGCATTGGTAGGTTGCTTGCTCTGGTTAGCCTGTTCTGTTTGGCTTCTTTGTCGTAGAATTCGTTGACGGGGTTTGTGACGAGAGTGCTTAGCGGGCCCGGCTGACAAGGTTGCTCTTGGGGGATTTGCGATTCGGGCAAGGTGAGGCCGTCGGCAGTGGTGGCAAGTGAGGTCAAGGCCGCGTACGCCCATCTTGCATTGATTTTGGTATCCATGGTTGGGTTTGGGGTCGGATGCAGGCGAAGCCTGCTGCGGCACACCTTGCGCCGGAGCGTCTAGAGCCTTTCGGCGCAACATGCTGGAGAGGAGGGTCTCTGCCCGGCAGCAAGGGTTACGTGATCCTGGAAGGCGTATGAGACTTTTCAAGGAGCTCACGTTCGTCACTACGTGCAAGGCTGTCCCCAATGCAGGATGTGGATTAAGGTGTGTTTGCAGACGCAAGGCTGTCGGCAACGTTGAGCTTTCTGATCCAGAATCCACGGAGGCAAGCAACGTGTGAAACCAGAACTGCCCGCAAGGTGCAAGATTCACGCTCCGATGCTCAGGTTCAGGTTTTGTTAGAGAGGTTGCGTTGGGACCATTGGGAGCACTGAGCACTGTGTGGATGCTGGGCAGGAGCGCCGATGCATCGCTATGTGCCGCATACAGGCCGCGCCTTCAAGGGTATGCAGGTGATGTGCAGGAGAGCAACCTTTCCCGCCCAGGCACCTCCCGCCTACACCCTAATGATGGAGTACCAAGACAATGCTCTCAAGATCCGCGCGTTGCAAGAGGCGTAGTAACATGTTGCTATCACGTGATGTGGGTGTGCGTGTGGAATCAGGCGTTGGAGCAGCAACAGCGGAAGGCGGACTCAGAAGTTCCGACGTGTAGCTGCTTACCCTGTTTGCCGCTCTTGGGCCGTGCGCTGCAGAAATGGCAGCATGGCAAGAAGCGGCAGTGCTTGCTCATTCATGTTGGGGCCCTGCTTGGATTCCGTCGCCCTAAGGTAGCGATTTAAGCAGGCCTTGTGGCCACCGCTCAAGGAGATCGAGTTTCAGTGCTGAGCCCGCGACTCAAAACAGATCAAAACAGCAACGCGGCTTCCCAGCCAAAGCTAATCATTTCTACTTCAGAGTAAGAGACCGCTGCCCAATGCCGAAATGGGGTCTGATGCGTCTGGTCAGGCGTCGGCGGCCGTTGGCTATGGCAGACCAGCAGGCACCGTAGCTTTGCGAGGTGTGTTTGCGCTTGCCAACCTGCAAAACTGCCACTGCGTGGGCCACTAGGCCAGCTTTGGCCAGAGCCTGCAGAAGCCACTTGCCAAATTTTTCATAGTTTCTGCAGCAGCCCAGGGTGCGCCCCAAAATGGCTTAGATGAGTTGCAGTGAGACAGCTGAGATGTGCCACGGTCGGGGCGTCTGAAAGCTTCGTGAACATGCAGGCCCCCATTGCCCGATCCGTCTCAGGCCCTGCTCATGCTTGTAAAGCTTGTTGCCCAGGACCTGATGGACCTCGGTTGAACAGCTGATGCGGCGAACCCATCGGAGATCATAAGCCAGATGATCGGCGATCGGCACGTGGAAGAGACAAAGTGACGCAGCGTGCAATGTCAGAAACCTTGATTGAATGTACAGCCGGCCAGAAACCCTAAGACCCTAGGCCTCTAACCGGCCCCAAGTTCCAGCAACAAAACGGTGTCTACTCGGTAGTTGTTTTGGCACGCTGGGCTGCTTCAACAACAACGTCGTTCCGTTGTTGTGCAAGCGAGGGCAACGGCTGCACGCACCCAACCAGTTGGACAGCCCTCCTAGAAGCCATAAGCGTGATCCCCAACCCGAAGCACCTGGACCCACCCGGACTCACAACGTCCAGAGCATCAAGCCTGAAAAAAAATGAGATCTCTTGAGCCCAGAAGCCGCCTTCAACACCTTGAGGCTTTCTAAAGGCCCGAGATGAGCTTCGAAGCCCTCGATGTGGTGAGCCACGGCGCTCTTAGGCTGGTGGCTTCGTACTTCGCTCCGAGTCAGATCCTTAGCCTGGAGAAAGGCGAAGCTGCCGGCGCTTTAAAGGGAACTAAGGAGAATCGATATGGTCGATATGATATGCGACCAGATACGTGCAGATGGAGCGCGCGATTTGCACATCCGGTCAAGAACTGTCATTGGTGATCGCCGCGTCCCATGGACCGTTCATGCTCCAGTGATGTAGTTGTTTGTTGGAAAGAACACCAGCACCACAGCATAAGGCACGTCCAGGGTCAAGGCCCAGTCAGGGCTTGCTTACGCCTCATGCAGGATATGCAAGATCCCTTCACATGGCCAGTCATGGCAGTCTCCTGGCAATCTCAGAGCAAGCCCGTGTTGTCTCTACATCCCCAAGTCTGTGCCATGAGCGACATGAACGCGATGATCCCCCAAGAGGGGTTTGCACTGGCCATGCGCCAGACCCTCGAAGAGACCATGGCCTCGGTAGTCGCAGAGTGGCAGCTCCTGCTCAAGCAGACTGTCGAGGAGTCCTTGCGCGAGGCTCTGCCGGAAGAGCTGCACAAAGCTATTTCACCGGTATTGGCGACATTGCGGCAGGAGTTGCAGACCCAGACCCCAACGGTTTCACCGACAGGACCGACTGGGGCTATGGTTCCATCTCCTGGGGGCACGACGCCCAAGATGCGCCGAAAGCTTAGCCGAAGGCTTAGCAACCTGGATAGCCTGTCTGCGGACGTGACGAATCTGGGTCGGCGCAGCAGCTTACTCTTGCCTCCCAAGAATGCCGAGATGGCCGAGCCCAAGAGAACAAGACTTCCGCGGGCACGAACAGATTCGATGGAAAACTGGGGTGCCGACTCGGAGACGATGCCTGTGGGACCGTTGCAGGTGCCGACCACAGCGGAGAGCAAAGAGGAACCTGCGAATGATTTGCTCTTACCGCCCCCAAAGAGTCCCAGGAGTGCCAGTCCCAGGAGCGGGAGAAGCGAGAACGAGAGTTGCGATGCAGAGGCGGTGGTCCCATTGCAAAGCATTGCAATCTTTCCGGAGGCTCGCGCAGGTACCAAGCCCCAGCCAGTGCCTGTTTGGCGCAAGGCCCTGCGCCTTGTTCTGGAGCGATTGGAGCATCTGTCGGCCGGGAAGCCTCCTCCTCAGACCGACCAGGTGAGGATTCTCTTGAAGAACCCGAAGCATGGTGCTGCCGTGGAGATTCCAGGGCGACCAGGCCGGCGGAGCGCAGTGGTGCTCTTCGAATCGGAGGTGGAGCGGCTTCTGGAAAGGGACCGCCACATTTGCGAACGGCTCTGGCCCTTCTCGAATCCAAGTGGCCGTCCGCGACAGTACTGGGAGATCTTCGCCTGCGCGCTGCATTTGATGCAGCTTCTCTACCTCTGCTTCCAGATCTCATTCATCACCACATCGGACTACGAGAATCAAAACTACATGGAGCTTAAGCTGGCCTTGCTTGTCGTGGACTTCTTTTGGATCATGGACCTGATGCTGACCTTCAGCACCGGGTACCAGGATGACATGCGGGTGCTTCACAGCCATGCTTGCTCTAACCCCCGCCGCTACCTGCAGCCCCACGGTAGCAAATGTTGGACAAGTTTTTGTGACTTTGAAGCCTCGACGTTGAACTCAACATGCTTTAAGGTCATAGAGGTCTAGCTGAGTCTAGCTTTTTCTCGACGTCCTTTCAGGTCCCTGTTCTTCTTGGACCTCTTGGCAACAATGCCTGGACTTATCCTGCATGTGCACCTGGTGGTTGACCCTGGCACGTACGGTCTCTGGCCGCTGAGGTGCCGAACGGGTGGTGAAGATGCCTCACGTTGTGTTTGTCTGCGTGTGTGTGTGCGTGAAAAAACGGGTAATCGTAGTTTAAACTCAAACTCAAGCCAATGGTATGCAGCAGGTTGCTAGTCCCTTCATACAAGCAATATGAGGTCAGTGAGTTCGGCGGGAAGCCGAAGCGAAACACCTATAAGCACTGGGCTCGTGGGGCATTGTTGAGCAGTACGCAAGAAGCAAGGATGGCGCCTGCCGCGCACATCGTTTTTTTGTAAAGTTCGCAGACAATCCCAGACACATCAGCCCCTGCAGGATCATGGAAATCCTATACTGGAATAGTCAATAGTTTCCTGATATTTTGAAGTCTTGGACCTTAGGAGTTTTGTTCTTGACGTTTGCGCCCTGGAGGCTGCTGAGCATGACCTCAGTGGTGCGGTCCGTGCGGTTTCGGCACACCTACACCTTGCTGCATCGCCTTGAAGCCAACATGCACCTTGAATGCGCTAGCCAGCATTTGTCTGTTTTCGAGCAGGGCAAACAAAGTCAAAGCAGCATCGCGAACTCAATAAGACAAAAGAGCTTTGCAGGAAGTCCTCGCTGATATCTTCGGCATGGTGGCTTTTCCAGCTCTTTATGCTTCCCATCGTCTTCTCGCACCTCTCCGCCTGTGCCTTGGCTCAGGATCCTGGTCTGGATGTCGTGTTCCGGACTTAGAGTTTCGACCTCGGATTGGCGGCTTGGAAGCTTCAATTGCTTCTCGGGAGCATCGCTGGTAGCTCATAAGGGAATCTGCAGGAACCCTAAACCCTTAAGCCAATTGCCGGGCCTCCCGCTACCATCATGTCATTGCACGCTTTGAACGTTCGTTGTCACAGGGCATGTCTTTCGCCAACATACTTGGACCATGCTTGGATATGTTGCTTGTGTGTTCTCAGCAAGTACGTAGCGAGATTGTTTCATGCTTCGCCATGGCACCACGTCGCGAAGAGAAGAAGCAGCAGGAAAAAAAGACATGGCTACAGGAGTACTACGAGAACCCGGGCTACGGTCCACCTGGTGGCACTGTGGCCAATCTGACGGACCAGGAGATGTGTGACCATGTCGAAATGCTTGTGGAACATCTTGAAGATGATGACCTGAAGAAGCGCATCAAGGCTGCTGAGGCGATGTCTGCTTATGTTGCCGACGATATGTATTTGCCGGAGTGGATGCCCGTCCACCCGGCGCAGGTGTTGGCAACCTTGTTCAACAAAACCATTCCAGACAGGTTAGCGTGTATTAGCGCAGCACGGTGCCTCAGCATCATGGGGAGAAAAGCAGCCCCGTACGCTTCGGGTGCTCTAACGAAGGTCTTGCAAAACAGTGGCAGCGACTTGCGGTATGAAGCCTTAGTGGCTCTGGGATACTTGGGCCCTGGGGCAGCTCCGGAGGCTGCAGCTGCTGTCGCTGCACGAGCGATGGAAGACGAGGACGCACGTCTACGGCGCCAGGCCTTGCACACTCTGACGATTTTTGGTCCAGATGCGGCCCATGTTTCCTCGACAGCGATTGCAAAAGCCTGCCATGACGAAGACACGGACGTGCAAGTTGCTGCGATGAAGTGCATGTCCGCGATGGGCTCGGACATTGACTGCGAGGTGGCTGGCCCCTCCTTGGTCAAGGTTCTGAATTCCGGGTCGCAGGAGATGCGGCGCTTTGCCATGGAGACCATTGCTGTGATTGGTTCCGGGCTGGCGACCTACGTCAGCAAGGCCATTGCGGGGCATCTGCGCCCCCTCCCGGGGAGCGATCCAGAACTTCGGCTGCTCGCAGTCATCGCTTTGGAAGCCATGGGGCCAGAAGTTGTGTACGAGCAAGAGGTTCTTCTGGCCAGAGCCGTAAAGGATCCTGAGAAGGAAGTTCGTGAGCAGGCCTTTTTAACCTTAAGAGATGCAGGATGCGTCAAAGGCATGATGGGTTCCATGTTGCTGGAAGATCGCATCTTCTCGCCAGAGACTCTTGCGGCCTCGAAGTTGGTCACAGAAGACAGCGACTCCTCCTCAAATTCCTCTGATGAGTCGGACTCGAGTGCTGAACTGGAAAGTTTCGGAAGCGAAGCCCCGGAAGAAGACGAAGATGATCTTGGAGAAAGCTGGGGTCTGGCCGAAAATTCTCGGGATTCGGCCGAGGATATCGATCCCGAGGAGGCAGAGCGCCTCCGGAAGAGCCTGCTCAAGAATTGGTCCTAAGAGGCTTGGGTGCACGGCAAGCAGGAAAGGAAGCTACGCGACTCTGTTTCACTGTATGTTTCACGCGATGCAGACGGCGCAGTCCTGCGGAGGAAAACAATGAAGCTCCACGGAGAGGTCGTCGAACGCTGGGTTTCACAACGGCGCCCCCCCTCCCCCTCCCGAGGCCCCATCATTCCATTGGGGACATCAGCAAATCTTGCTGAGCTGGATGTATTCAGAACAAAGCCAACAAAGACCCAAAAGACCACACATCCCCATGAATCCCCAAGACCCTACAGAAGCGTCTGAAAAGCCAGCTAGCAAGCTAGCGACAAGCTAGCGACAAGCCACGCCAAGAAAAAAAAAGGCAGTGAACTCAGTGAACTCCTGAGGTGCCTTGTGGTCTCTGGGCCACAGCAACCTCGCAGCCGACGCTGAAGCCTCCAGCTGGATCAAGTTGGGCTTGGAGATCTCCGACGAACCTCGCTTTTGTTGGTTTGTTGAGGGTTTGCTTGTTTCTCGTGTCCAGGCTGTTTAGCGTACAGTGCGTATGGTCTTGCTTCCACGGGTCTCTTGGCAACATGACGGCATCGCTCTCAGTCCGGCTGTTTAAATTAAATAAGGGTTTTTTTCGGACTTAGGGTTTAGAATTTGCATTCTTGGTAGGATTCCGAGGGGGCATCCCTGGCCTTTTCGTCTTCGTTTTTGTGCTCAGTGAACAGCCGAGGAACCTGGGGCGCTGCAAGCCGTACCTTTAGGAGAACGATGGTCGGGGGGGCGGGGGCGGGGGGGGCGGGGGTAACCCTTTCATGAGGATGCATTTGGGGGGTGATATGACTGCCACTGCCACGAGGCGGCTTTTTGAATTTCTCGCTTTCTAGGAAACGTAGACTAGTTCTGCCACTGGTTTAGACACCGCAACTGAACGATGTTTCGACCAGGAGAACGCTACACGACTGCAATGTACTTTGCGATCACGGTTATGTCCACTGTGGGCTTGGGAGACATTAGTATGAGATTGCCGAATGAAAGGGCCTTGCTCTGTGCCATCATGGCCACTACAAGCTTGGTCGTAGGCATTGCTGTGAACGGCATCTCGACGATGGTGACCAGGCTCAGTGAAAAGACAGCCGCAAACATGGAGCAGCTGGCGCAGGTCGCACGGTTTTTGAAGGTCTACAGAGTTCCTGAAAATCTGCAGTCCGGAGTTCATGACTACCTCTTGCAAGCCTTCGAGAATCGGGAACGAGAAGAAACCAAGTCACGGCTCATGGGCTGGTTGAAGAAATCGGAAGTCCTTCGGGTGAAGGTAAACCTGGCTTTGACGGGAACTTGCTTGACGCAGCACCGGTGGCTGAAACTCCTTCCCACTGAAGTCTTGGCAAATGTCTGTGACATCTGTGACACGGAGTTTCATCCTCCTGGGCAGGAGCTCATTACACAAGGAGCTATGGTTAAGAGCTGTTTTTACATCCGAAGCGGCTCGCTAAATGCACGGCAAGTTCGTTCCACCGAGCGATCATCATCTCTCAAGGTGTCTGAAGCATGGTCAGCTATGCCGGATGACGAGAGCGAGGCCGGTGAGATCACCACATTGCATGGCTTAGAAGCCACACACACACACACCACCTCGTTTAAGTCTCATTCGAAGTTGTTAACTAGATCTAGATAACTCAACTTCGCGATTCCAGCGAACCCTAGCAAGTCCGTCCAAATCCTGAGGACACCGAGATTCAAAAGGAAATCGAGAGCGCTGATGCTGCTCGTCCAGAAGAAAGGTTGGAGTGCGGAACGTTCATCGGCGACTTCCGGCTCTTCTTGGGGATCAGTCGAAGTTTGAGGATGGTGAACTGTCTGTCCTTCTGCGAGCTCATTTCCATTGATGTGCAGAAGTTCCAGTCCTTGATGAGAGAAGCGTTGCCTGAGCTCTTTGATATGCTTGTGATCTACTCGGCAATTGACCATGACTGTCCCAAAGCCATGCTCCACTGCCTGAAGGAGCAGGGCATTTCGCAGGAGATGTCTTTGCTTTTCGGGGAAGGCGTTCTTCACCACTGTGCCAAGGTGAATGCAGCAGCCTGTGCCGAGCACTTGATCCAGCACCTTGGGGCAGATGCCACCTTGCTAACAGAGCAAGAAGGGCAAACGCCGGCGCAGCTCGCCGCTGAGTTGAAGCACAAGGAGACCTTTTGGGCCATGATGCAGTGTGCGGGGAGCAGCAGGAGCGTGACAGATGCCGACGTGTTGCCTCAAGACGCCCGCTCCGTCCGCCCAAAGCGCCGACAAACGCTGACATGGACGGAGGATCACAGGGAACCATACACACTGGCCAGGGTCCAGGAGCTTTTCGACAGTTGCAAAAGCCAAGGCAGCATCTTCGGAGGCTTTGGTCGAGATGGCCGAAAAGGTTTGGAGGATTTGGTGAGTGAGCTGAACACCTGTCAGAGTGATCTTGTGATCTTGAAGCAAAGTCTCCTGCGGCGGGTGAGGTTGGTCAGGCTTCGAGTGCTGGCCAGCATCGATGACAGCTTTTCTGTGCTGGTGGAGCTGCAGTCGGATGCTTGGCTGAAGGCACAGGACCAGAAGATTGGAAAACTACCACAGCGGCGTCTACACCGTCAGGAGACGGTGCAGGAGGCCACAGAGACCCTCATGCAGGAGTTGGGCGTTTCAATTTCAGACTTGGAGGCGAAGTTGGTGGTTCCTTTGGCACGGACTTGCCATGTCGAGACCAGGATGTCAATGTCTTATCCCGGTTTGGAGACCGAGTACACCATTTACGAGTCCACGTGGAAGGTCCGAGCACAAGCCGTGCAGAAGGCCAGAGAGATTGGACTGCCGAAGGGCAGGCCTTTCACGAGAGAGTTTTGTGCTCATTCCTTCCGCATGGTCAGCAGACAGTTCATCTGGGCCGTCCTTTTTGACTTCCAAGTGCGGGCGAATCCTGACACACCGACGGAGAGCTTCAGGGTGCAAATGCAGGATGAGGAGTTGGGGAACGAGTCAGGCAGCTGGGGAGTCAACCCACTCAGGCTACTGCTGTGGAGATCGCATCCCGACTAAATCGTGATGTGGTGACATGGCAGGAGCCAGGACAGTGAGAAGGACTTGGCCGGAAGTATCACCCCCTGTCAGCGGGCATGGGCCCCTTCTGCTGTGCTGCTGCGCTACTAGTACTTGCTCTAGTTTTGGGGCGCACAACTTACACCCTTAGTTCTAGCCCAACTTCGAACCCTAGTATTGCAACAACTTTGGGGCCCTCCCCTAAGTCAACCTGAGCCGCTCAGCGAGCGGCCAGCTTGCTTTATACAATATTTTCCGAGATGCCTAACGGCGCCTATTTTTAGAGTTTTAAGTCGTTGAATGATGGGACAGATCTCCCGGGCGTTGAATGTAGGAGAGATCCCTCCCACCTCTGTGGTCCAGTTTCTTGTTGGCTCCTCCCCATGACATTTTTGCATATATACCTCTTCAACAATCTGTAGTCCAGAGAGTATTGATTGGGGGAGGAGGCCAGGTGGCTGCACTGAGAGCGACCCACCAGGCGCATTTGCCGAGAGCTGCGTTGTGAACCTCCCCGGTCGACGATGGACCTTGCTAAGAGCCCCCTATCTCCCCCCCCAAGACTCTGTTCAGCAGAAGAAAGAGGGCTTCTCTTAGGGGCCCCCTACAGGCTGCTTACAGGGTTACAATGGTTGCTCTTCCAAACCCCTTTGCGGGCAACAAAGCAGTCAGAGCACATCACAGCACCCTGCAGATCGTGTTTTGTACAAAATGTGCTGATTCTAAGAGAGAGAGAACTGTTTGATTTGTGATGTTTTGAGAGTGGGTTTCTGTTTGTAGATTCTGTGTGTGTTTGCCCATTGCCATCGCAGATCGGCAGTCACTTCGCCGTCGGCCTGTCCAAGCGCCGAGACCGAGCGGGAGAGGTAAAACACACAGGTGGGTTCTGCACAACTGTATATTGGATCCGCTTCATCCCCTTCAGATCTGGGCATGGCCTTGCGTGCGCAGTGCGTAAAGCTCCAGCACCGCGACTGCGTCGCGATGTTGGCAGCAGATTCTGTTCATTGTTTAGCCAGCAGACCACATTTACTGCACGAGCTCTGCAGCAGCACCCGAGGCTTCACTGAAGGTGTTGGTCCCACGCGTGTGCTTTCGGAAGGTGTATCCAGAATGAGGTGCTTCTAGTTTTGTTAGCCTCTCTTGTCGCATTGTGCGCAGGACGGGGTTGGAATGCACATGAAGGGGGCTTCAGGGAAGTTGTTGATCGTCAAAGTCTATTCAACCAACAAGGAAACAGCAAAGAATTCAACAAGCTGGGAAACGGAATAAACGCCCACGATCACCAAAAAGCAACATCGGATTCCTATTGCTTTCTGTCTGCCCTTGCTGCCTATTTTATTCCCTTCTTCGGACCCCACACCAATTTTCGACTTCTTTTTTTGTATCGTTTCCCGTTCTTCCCAGGCTCTTTCTGTGCTTTTTGAGACTATGTTGCATGTTTTTTCTGCCTTTCAGGAGTCTCCCCGCATTCTCACTCCCCACTCCAACTGTTGCCGGTCTTTTGTCCGAAACTCCCAAACTTGGCGTCTTGACCCTGAACCCTGTCGAAACCAGCTTATTTGCTCCCGCCGTGGTGGAGCCCTCTTCGCCCGCCCTAGGCGCCCTGACCCTGAATTCTGCCGGAGTCCGTGGAAGTTCTGCCGATGTGACAATCGTTTTGAGTATCTTTAGAAGCTCGAAGCTGTTTCGATTTACCAAAAGTATCCAGCTTTCTCCTAAGCCTTGCACCCCAAGCGTGAAAAAACCCTGAGCCACTTGGAAGAGGAACTGACCCTTGCCCGGCACGGTTCAAGCTGATCTTTGTGTGTAAGTTTCCTCCGCATTCGTGGCCGGCCCCCTTAGCATCTCGCCATGAGCCTCTTTGCAGGCTGGTGGATGAGTCTAAGTGCAGAGAGTTGCTGCATCAGATAGCCTTGGGTGCTTGGACTTGAGGGTGGGAGGGTAGGCCGGGTGGGGGCCGGATCCGCAGATCGGGAGATGTTCCAGAATGTTGATGTTTTTGAGGTCATGAGGGGGGGTTGATTGCAGCAGAAAAGCCCCCGGCCCACAACCAGTGGCCGGACATCTGGTCCAAGGGTCCAGAGGACCGGAGCAGGCTAAAGTCGGTGTGGACAAAAGGGCACCTCGCACAGACAGAGCATGAGGCCAAGCATGGAGCCCATTTAACATGGGCTTGGGAAGCCAACCGCCATGCCGACTGGCTATGCGGTCAAAAGGCCAAAGAAATCCTGTCACAAGCACATGTCGACAAAGTCCAGAAGGTAGACCAAGTTGCCAGGGAAGTATCGGCATTCCTAGGGAAGCGAGCTGAGTTTCTCCTCCCAAACTGCCCTTTGCCTTCAGCGAATGAGGTCAAGTTTGCGCGCAAAGCAAAGCCGAAGGGTGAGGCTCTCCCCAAGCAGGGACCCAACAAAAAGCAAATCCTGCTGCAGGCAGTGAGAGAAGTTAACCCCAAAACCATGCACCAGTGGAAAATTTCCAGCGGGGAAAATACTAATAACTTGTGCATTAAGTGTTTGGGTTGTGGCCTGTATGTCCAGCAGGTGGATCCACTGGAGGTGGTGGTACATGTCACCAATTTCCCTGCCAGTCGTTGTCAATCCCTATCTCCAATCCTTGGGGTTTCCATGATTCTCACTCCATGATCAACCTAGGAGAGTCTGTCGTTTGCAAGACGTGTGGGGCTTTTCAATCCGTCAGAGTACTGAAAGTTAAAACAATGTGCCAGTCTAGGTGCGGACAAGTCTGCAAAAAACCACACAGCAAATTTCTAGAGGCGCAGAAACGTAGCATTGACCCCAAGGCAGGTGTCAAAGCTTTCTTTGGCATGAGGCCGAGTCGCTCGCCGCATGCCGCAGCCGTCACGCCTTCAAGCCCAAGCTTACATGCTCCCAACGAAGGTCGCCGTAGTGCAAGATAGAATCGTGGCTTTTCGGTTTAAAACTAGAGGACATATGAGAATTTCCTGTCAATCCGTATGTAGAAACATCCAGCAGCAACAGGCCAGGCCCACAAATTCGTGGCGCATTCTACTCAGTCCCCACTACTCTCCAAAAACGTTTGTGCAGACGTTTTTGCTTGCAGCGTGCATTGCTTGCGTGGGCTCTTCACTTCGGTCTAAGGATCCGCATGGCTAATGATAGGTTTGGCATCGACTTGGATGCTGTCAACCGCACCTGAAAGCCAGATGCCGCACCGTTCCACCGTCAGGAATTGGCAAGGCAAAACAAGCTCCTACAGGTATTTGTGACCTCAGCCTAGGTTCACGTGGTCATTGCTCCGATTGATCCACCCACGAAGTTTCGAATTTAGATGCACTTCATTCCATCTGCACATATCTCGCTAAGGATAGCACGTCCTCATCCCTACACCCCAATCCCACAAGTGCTAGGCTGGGCATCAAAGCACTCCGTGCTCGAAGCTTTCTGACAATGGGGTGCCAGAGCAAGAGCCCTTGAACTTCGTTCTGAACCCGAAACAGCAATCCCGAATCCCGACGCCGCCTTGTTATGGGCACAGCATGCGCTTCGGTCTAGATAGCCCGAAAGCTCAGTGCCCCTTATTGACGCGATAGCAGTGTTGCAGATGTACGTTGCACACAATGTCCTGACCACCTACGGGCACTCAGGTGTAGTTCCTTTCTTTTGTTGGGCCCTACTTTTGATACAAATATGAAAACCAATATAGACATCGAAAGGAAAAACATGGTGACGGCGCCTGTACGCGCCTATGCGTTTGTAGAGATTTCAGAATGAGGCGTTTTGCATGGATACGCGCGAAACCACAGCGAGAGCGCAATCTCAACTAAAATTGTTGTTCAGGCAGGTGCGTGAAACACTAGAGGCTGAAGTAAACTTTGGGCCTAACTGCGTTTTCGCTCGGGTTTTCAGGTCATCTTTGAAGAGGCTGCAGAACAAAACTTTATTTTGGAGAGAATTTTGGAGGATGTATGGCTGAGTTTAAAGTATTTGGGATTCGCAGGCCGGGTCATGGGTTTTATGTTGAGGGTTTTTGCTTACAGGGCAACGCAGTAAAGCCCAGTTTTTTGGGGCATAAACGCTGTAAATACCAGTGTTTTGGGCATGGTCGCGAAAGGCATGGACGCTTGTGACAGATTTTCTTGTTCCACTTCTTTGTGCAGTATGTTAAACGGCTGTAAATACCAGTGTTTTTGGGCATAAAACGTTGTAAATACCAGTGTTTTGGGCATGGTCGCGAAGGGCATGGACGCTTGTGATAGATTTTCTTGTTCCAAGTCCTTGTGCAGTATGTTGTACAGAGAGGCGAAAACGCTGTAAATACCAGTGTTTTGGGCATGGACGCAATATGAATGACGTTCTTCCCGCCCCCCCCCCCGCCCCCCCACCCCCCCCACGCCCCCCAGCGCCCCCCCACGCCCCCCCAGCGCCCCCCCACGCCCCCCCCAGCCCCCCCACCCCTTAAAGTTGCGAAGAAAGATTTGCTACAGGTGGAGGTTCGGGGCGGTTTGAGGGTTTAGGATTGCGGGCCAGGGGTGTACTTGTGCTTGGATGTCATGTGAGGAGGTGGCTCGTGGTAGAACTTTTCTCATGGTACATGTACAAGGAGCCAATTTAGACTCTAAAAATGGAGCTACTTGTTTGAAGGTTCCTACTTCTCCTAACTTACTATAGAAAATAGCGAGGAATTATAAGTTGGGCCGTGCCTCACAAAACAAGGCAATCACGGGTATGCCAATGACTCCAGTTGACCGGTCAACCCTGAGCTCCCAAAATCCCTAAACCTTAAACCCCCAGACGGGTAGCAAAAAAACCTCAAACAGGGCTTCGCTGACCTCAACGGCCGATGCACAGGACCGGGCACTGGGCAGTTCGTTTGGAAGTTGTGCAGCTTCTGAATAAACATACAAGTTCTGCCTACTTCGCTTCCCTTCATTTTGCAAGCGTCGCATGCGATTCGGCCCAGAGTAGAGCGAGACAAGATGCCGCCGCGTCCGACACCAATCGATGACTTATCTCCAAGTCTCGACGTCGAAGACTTTTTCGTCCACATCCTTGAAGCCACCACGGAGGAAGGCTGGATCAATGTGCAAGAAAAGTTCGACAAGAATGCGCTAGATCATGATGGCCGAATATGCTACCGGTTTTCTGGTTGCGGGTCTTGCATGACACGCGTGAAGTTCGTGGTATCTACCCCTCTGCCTGCCAATAAGCTCATGATTCGCCCAGAAGTATCCCGGCGCAGCATGGCAGAGATCACGGGCTTTTTGCAGGCGCGGTTTCAACAGCAGATCAACCCAGGTGATGCGGTGATGGAGTTAGAGGAGAAGGATGCCGAGTCGACGTTGAAGGGATATGCTATGAGACAGATCTTGGAAAGTCCATCGGTGAAGTGCGAGGAGGATGTTGAACCAAGTGACGTTTGGAACAACTACCTTGCCAGGATGATTGTGCGGAAAGACGTGCCAAAGCCTGGAATGGCTGCGATGGTCGTTTTGCCTATTGGCCGTAGACACACCGTGGTTTTTCAGGTCGGTGCAGTGAAAGCGTACACCTTGACCGTCCAGCCACATAGCATACCTGGCAAAGTCATTGTGGCCCATGTGATGTTCTTACCATTTTCAGCATACCCTTCCTGGGCGACACCGCATTTCTCCAAGCTTGCAAAGCTGGAAAAGACCAACTTCATGGAATACTTGAAAGCGGAGGACTTGCCACGGCTTTGTGAAATTGATGAAACCTACTACACAGTTCTGCACCTGAGAGGATGCAATCGTGGAGTGCCATTGCTTCCATCTCTAGGCGACATTCCTGAAGATTCCGATAGCTCGACCTATGTTGTTATCTCGGGTGACGATGGGGCCGAGTCCTACTGGGTGAGATGGCCAGATTGCACTTTCACGTTTGAAGCCTATATCAGAGAGTTCCTTCTGCGTTCTGGGATCACCTTACAGGTCTTTACAGAGCTCAGCGGCAGGAAGTTGGTTCCCTACCAAGTGGCTGTTCTAAGTCATGAGTGGGAATCTCTCAAGGACCAGGTCGGTGCAGCTTTCCACAAGCAACAGCGAGCATACAGACGAATGAATGGCGGCGTCAGTGCCCCTCGTGTAGGAGAAGCAGCTGAGCCTCGATTTCAGCACGCTGATCCGAAGCCCAAGAGTGCGTGTTTTGTGGCCCGCTCTTCCGACATGGTGATCCGGAAGACCTTTATTGACATGAGCGAGTCTGATTGGACAGAAGGCAATCGCCATGGCTGGATCGGTGCCCAAAATCAAGTCGGCGGAGCACTGATGCGATCTTCGACTGCAGACTTCTAGAAGTTTCACCCTGAAAATGTCACGATGTCACGAACGTAGACGAAATCCCGGCTTGGTTCCTGCGGAGCTTTCTGATTCGCAGCTGTTGATCTCTTCTTTTGGAACGTAGTGCTGAGTTTTCTGTTGGGGGGATCGCAGGAACTGAGGGGTGACCAGAAATTCAGACAGGACAAACTTGGGGGGCAAAAGGTCCCATCCTTGTAGAGCGCGAGGATGCCTGGAAAAGCCGGGGAGCTTCGCAGGTTTTGAGAGCCTCCCAGGTTTTCCAGGCAACGGAGCAACAGAGTCCAGTGACCGGTGCCTTTGGCACCTGAAAACCGGTCACTTGGCTTGGGATCACCAGGATTACCAGGTACCGAGACCCGAACTATCGCAGTCGCTCGTGGAGAAGTTGCTGCAGATGCTGTCTTCGCTTTGTCATGCATACGTGTAGTTTCCTTAAGTCTTTTTGTGGGATACTCACACCCCCCCAAAAAGAACCGGTCCAGAATGGTTGGTTGGGTGTGTGTGTGTGTGTGTGTGTGTGCGCATGGGTGGGTTGGTAGGTGGGTGGATGCGTGTTGGTTTGCACTTTGCATCACTTGTGCATCCATTCGGTCATCGACGTGTATTGCGAAGATGTGCAAAACGCACTTGACCCCTCTTGGAAGAAACAGCCTCGTAGCGTCCCTTTCAAATCACCACAATCAACCTCCCTCAGCCCCCCCCATCAACTCCTCAACCTGCGATCAGGAAAGTCGGGCGGAAAGTCCTGGAGCAGCACTTTGCCGCACAGCTCCTGAGCGCTGAGCTCAGGATTGGCTTCGCAAAGCTACGCGCGAGCTGAATTCGATATGCTGGGGATGCTGCTCCCAAGTATAAGCATCAAACTTTCAATCCCATGGCGCAGCCCGGAACTGAATCATCAAATTTGCGGCGCAGCATCTAGATCTGCAGCAGAAGCTAAAGCAGGCCACAGGCCCGGCCAGCAAAAACTATCAGCGCGACAGCACCAATAGATACTGCAGTCAAGCCCCAGCCGGTGGGCAGACAAAGCCCGCCAGGTCAACATAATTAATTTGTATGTGGCGAAGCCGCACGTCATTGGACATGTGACGTGCTGGGCCCTTCCATCTGATACTTCTGGCAACCCGCAACAATAGGGGGGCTCTTTGTGAAGTCGAGTTGGGGGCATGGGCGGCTTGTGACGCCCAGTGGCACAAAGGGAAGCTTCAAATTCAAAGCGCAGAATGGGTTTCAAGAAAACGTCCTCTCTGGCTAAGACGTTTCCATTTAAGAGCGTCCAGCTCAAGACGCGGACCCCGCAGGAGAAGCGGTTCGGGCGATCACTGCCAGCTAGCATTTCTCTTCCTACGGTTCAGGGAGTTGTGTGTGTTCTTGCAGCTGGGGGCCGTGCGTGTAGTGTGAGTGCGCCACCTGGGTTGACGGGGTTTGCAGGGTTATACAGTGTTATACAGTGTTATAGGTTTTGGAGGGGTGAGCGGGTTGTGGGGCGCTACTTGGTTGCGCTGATGCAACCTCGGCAGGTTTTGTCTTAGGGTTTAGGCGATGGGGGGTTGGGAGCGAGTGGTTGCTATTTGGCGACTGATGCCGGGTCGGCAGGCTTTGGGCTTAGGCGGTGCATTGAGGGGGGGGGGGGGGGTGGTGGGGTTAAGGGGGGGGGGGGGGGGGTTGGGTTGGGTTGGGGGTTTGGGGGTTGGGTTGGGGGTTAAGTTGGGGGTTGGGTTGGAGGTTGGGTTGGGGGTTGGGTTGGGGGGGGGGGGTTGGGGATGCCTGTTCGGAGTGGTGCATGCTAAACCTAACCGCCGAAGATATCGTGATGGGGAGTGCAAATCGAGCCATGCCCTTTGCTGCATGTGGGGCTAATGACCATGTTTAGCGTGTAAATAAGGTTTGAGAACCAATGTGTTATTCTTGAGGTTTGCTTTCTCTTGCCCCGCTTCAGGTACAGGGCACGACGCCCCTGAAAACATTTGCAAATACAATGGGTCGGAAAATGTAGAAACAATGGGTCCGAAAATGAGAAATAGTGGGTCCGAAAATGGGTTTCGGGAAAAAACGGGTCCGAAAATGTGAGCTGACTCAGTTTTCTGTTGCTTTGAAATTGAAAATACAGGCAATCCCAATATCAAGCCCAATTTCGGACCCCCCTCCAGCCACCTCCAGCCAAAGCCTCCTCCAGCCAAAACCCCTCCAGCCAAAGCCCCGAGCAGGCAAAGCCACCCCGTCCAGCCAAAGCCCCCTCCAGCCAAAGCCCTCCAGCCAAAACCCCCACCAAACCGCCTCTGACCACTCTCCTCCAGCAAAGCCCCAAGCCCAGTTCGGCTTTGCTGGAGGGGGCCTTTGACTGGAGGCGGGTGGGGGGGTTTGGCTGGAGGGGGGGGGGGTTCAGGGAGGGTGGGGGTGGTTGCTGGCTGGAGGGAGGAGCGCTTTTGAGAGTTTCTACCGAGTCATTGTATTGGCTGACTTGGTATCTTCTCCCGATATTTTTCAGGATGCGAACTTGCATGGACTGCTTATGCCCACAACCTGAGTTTTGACATGCTGAACCCTTTCCAGCGCAAGGTCCCCAGGAGGCTTGCGGCATCAACCGATACCACACGTTAGTTTCGGTGATCCCGAGGCAGCGACATTCAGTCAGCGCAGGCGGGCCCACTGGAGACTCTGTGCGACAACCCCACATGCCACGTGAGATCAGATGAGTAATAGTAACGTCAGCTGACCATTGCATTTTGGAAAATGCGCACGGTGGCTTTAGTGGCTGCACTCTGGTAGCTGCTGCCCTCGGCGGAGGAGCCCAGCTTGCGCGCTGTTGCGTGCTAGACACTAAAGGGCTCAAGCGCTCTGCGAATTTTAATCTGTCTTCAGGTAGCGTTGTGGGTCTCGAAGTCTCGAAGATGGGCGGAGGACCTTCGACGGTCCTGGCGACAGTGGCGCCGGTGCACCGCAGTGCCATGATGTTCCCCGGAGATCATCCCACGGACTTCTGCCTGTGCACCAGCGGAGGCGGGGCACGTGCCTTGAGCTTCACTTTGGGTGTGTATCGGGCCCTTTGGCAGCTGAAGATCTTGCAAAAGCTGGATGGCATCAGCTCAGTGTCGGGTGGAACCTGGGCCAGTTCCGTGTACATGTTCGGCAAGCAGTTTCAAGGCAAGGACGTGGACACGGAGACGATGCTGGGAATGAGCACAACTCCATCTTCTCTGACGCTTCAAGTGCTGGAAAGAGAGGCGCCTCCTCTGGCCTGGGGCCTCACGCAGGGGAGGAGCACAAAGCTTTTCATCAAGAATGCCGCCAAAGATGTGGCGACACCTCTGGCAGACAAGTACGTGTGGACGAAGACCGTAGCAGAGTTGGTCCTGGAGCCCTGGGGATTGGAGAGTCTCGATATGTGCATGGCCCTGTCAGAGGAGGAAGTGGCGAGAATTCGTTCGGAGAATCCGCAGCTGGCCGAAACGAAGTTCTGCACGTTGCGGGGTGATCGCCCGAGACTCTTTCTGATGAACGGGGCGCTGCTCGCCCCGGCCGGCTTCGAGACCGGTGAGGATTCCATCGTGTCTTTCCAGATGAGCCCAGATTTCTGCGGGAGCCCTTTCTACCCCAACGAGGCTCAGGCGGTGTATCGCCCGGATCATACCTTCCGCCCCGCTTCAGTCCTCTGTTGCCTCAACAACTGCTGTCAAGGAGACCTGATGGTCCCTGTCGGCGGTGGCCTCGTTGAAACCTTTGCCTTCGGAGGTCAGGCTCCAGAAAAAATGCCAGCTGATGCGGCCAAAGTCCCAGTGGGTCAGCCTGCGAGATGCTTCTCCGTCGCCGATGCTGTGGGCATTAGCTCCTATGCCCCAGCTGCGGTGCTGGCCAGCAAACTCTTCACCCAGCGGTCGTTCGCCATGAAGAAGGACTATTGGCCGGTAATTGGTGGCACGATGCTAAGCGCTCTCCACAACATGGCCACCTCCATCCCAGCAAAGGAGTACCAGTTCGGGGATGGCGGAAGCATCGACAACAGCGGCTTACTGCCGCTCCTGCAGCGGAACGCTAAGAATGTGATCCTGGGACCTTGTTGGGGAACTTAAGTTAAGAACCTCAATGAGGAAAGCATGCTGTTTGCTCTGTTGTCCGATTATGGCAACAGTTTGACTTCTATTAAACGAACCCAGGATTTGGGTTGCCACTTCCTTCCGGCCCCTAAACCCCACCTACGACTTCGAGAACGTCACAGCGGAGGTCTTCGATCCCGAGGATGCGCAGGTCGCTGTGCACGTAGTGCCGGAATCGGCGTGCACCACGTACGTACCCAACAATATGCTATGCCGGGCTATACCGCAATCCCTATGAAAAAAATGGGACCCTTCACCTATGCATGTCTTTTGTGCGGTCCAAGGTCATTGGTCAGCTGTCCAGCGCCTTTGGTTTCGGCAGCTTTGCATGAAGGCTTTCCTTGTTGGCGAACTTTGTTGCAAGCCAGTGGGCCAGAAGGATACCTTAATTGCTGTGTTTTCTCTTATTGTATAATTGCGGGGAGGCAAAGCCGCCCAGGTGGGTAAAAAGCCTTTTGCGCAGTGAGTGCTGATAGGTTTCTTTACAAGTCCAAGGTGCCCCGCTTGCCGTTTGCCCCGCCTAAGACTCAGGGATACCAAGGGGGTACCAAGGGCCAGGACGTACACACATGTACATGTATATATAGAGAGAGAGAGAAAGACAGATAGATAGATTTTTCATGATTTATAGTTATTGTTTATGCATGTGTATATGTGTGCATGTAGCTGTGTAGGCATGTGCATACATGTGTGTGTGTGTGTGTGTGTGTGTGTCTGTGTGTGTGTCTCTGTGTGTGTCTCTGTGTGTGTGTGTCTCTGTGTGTGTCTCTGTGTGTGTCTCTGTGTGTGTCTCTGTGTGTGTGTCTCTGTGTGTGTCTCTCTGTGTGTGTCTCTCTGTGTGTGTCTCTGTGTGTGTCTCTGTGTGTGTCTCTCTGTGTGTGTCTCTCTGTGTGTGTCTCTCTGTGTGTGTCTCTTCTGTGTGTGTCCTCCTGTGTGTGTCTCTGGGGTGTCTCTCTGTGTGTGTCCTCTGTTTGTGCCTCTCTGTGTTGTGTCTCTCTGTGTTGCTCTCTGTGTTGGTTGTGTGTCTCTGTGTGTGTGTCTCTGTGTGTGTGTCTCTGTGTGTGTGTGTCTCTGTGTGTGTGTGTGTCTCTGTGTGTGTGTGTCTCTGTGTGTGTGTCTCTGTGTGTGTGTGTCTCTGTGTGTGTGTGTCTCTGTGTGTGTGTGTGTCTCTCTGTGTGTGTCTCTCTGTGTGTGTCTCTCTGTGTGTGTCTCTCTGTGTGTGTCTCTCTGTGTGTGTCTCTCTGTGTGTGTCTCTCTGTGTGTGTGTCTCTCTGTGTGTGTTTCTCTGTGTGTGTGTGTGTGTGTGTCTCTCTGTGTGTGTGTGTGTGTCTCTCTGTGTGTGTGTCTCTCTGTGTGTGTGTCTCTCTGTGTGTGTGTCTCTCTGTGTCTCTCTGTGTCTCTGTGTGTCTCTGTGTGTCTCTGTGTGTCTCTGTGTGTCTCTGTGTGTCTCTGTGTGTCTCTGTGTGTCTCTGCGTGTCTCTGCGTGTCTCTGCGTGTCTCTGCGTGTCTCTGTGTGTCTCTGCGTGTCTCTGCGTGTCTCTGTGTGTCTCTGTGTGTCTCTGTGTCTCTCTGTGTGTCTCTGTGTGTCTCTGTGTGTCTCTGTGTCTCTCTGTGTCTCTCTGTGTCTCTCTGTGTCTCTCTGTGTCTCTCTGTGTCTCTCTGTGTCTCTCTGTGTCTCTCTGTGTCTCTCTGTGTCTCTCTGTGTCTCTCTGTGTCTCTCTGTGTCTCTCTGTGTCTCTCTGTGCGTCTCTGTGCGTCTCTGTGTGTCTGTGTCGCAATCCTCCTTTCTCCTTTCTGGGCCCTACCTGCTAATCCTTCGCGTGTCTCCCCAGCACGCCCCCACATGCTCGGCCAGTCGCAGGTCCTCCCCAAACTTCGCACGGGGAGCATACCGCTTTGCCTGAAGCTCCTTCGAAGCGACTTGCGGATGCCGCTAGGGGTCCTCTTTCTTTTTCATCTTCTTCCTCCGGGTCGCTGTACTCTTTCTCGGGGTCATAGCGCCTGTCTCGCAGAGTGCGGGAGTTCCGAGAGGTCCAAGGGTAGCTGCAATCTTGCTCACCACTTCGCTCCCCCGCAATGTATGGTCTCGCTGTATGCTCATTGTTTGCTGTTTTTTAAATGGACATCGGTTCGAGTTTCTGTGCCTGGCCTCTGTGCCACGCACATCAAGAAGGTGATGCAGTCAGTATCTAGAATCGAGAATGTAGCACGCAGGAAAATCTGTACGACACTTGTTAGCTTAGTTTTTTGTCCTTGACGTCTACTGTGTTCAACAAGAGGGACAGATCAGCTCATGGGTTAAGTCATGAGCGCTCGATGATTCCTGAGCGAGCGAGTACATGCGCTGCACCCGGTTGGTTTGCAGAGTTTTGTGCCAGCGAAGCGTCATTGTCACTGTGTTTTCGAAGCGCTTTTGATATACAAAAAAAGGTGCCTACGTAAGTTTCGGCACAGCTGCGTCCGCGTCCGCGTTCTGTCAACACCTATGACACTGAACGCGTTGTTTCAGAACGTCTCGCGTCATCAATTTTCACAAGCCTTGTATTATTTGGGAGAGAAGACAGTGAGCTGTCAGTGAGCGGCGAGCACGGGCAGCAGCTGCTGCGGAGAGCCGGGCAAGAGGAGGCACAGGGCAGCTTTCGTCAGCGCGATCTGGGCCAATGGGCCAGAGAGTTCCTGTTGACAGTTGGACGGCAATCATTGGATTCACTAGATTCATAATTTGATTTCTGTGTCTGCCTCCCAGGCACGCCAACGGTCACAGCAGCAAGTGCACAAACTGCACCGAAGCTTCAGCAACCCCTTGTTGCAAGGACGTCTGACTGCAAAGAAGTGAGGTCGCCGTGTGCTTTCCCATCCTTGTGGCATCAAGTCAACTGAGGATGGATGCGCTAATTCACGTGGTCCACTGCGTTTTCGTTGGCCATGGATATGTGAGCGAAGACAAGCAGGAGTCAGAAAGAAGTTTGAGATACGCCAATTGCTGCTATCTGCTTTGGAGGCATAGTAGAAGGCAAAGGCAAGGCTGAAGTTCGGGCCGTTGGCGTGAGATGATATGGCACCACCTATTATATGCATCGGTTTAGAAAAGTCCCATCCCGACAGGTCCCAGACCAAAAAGCTGGGGCGTTCAGTTTGGCTTCCTCCCGGCACCTTTGTGGAGGATTGCTGCGGCCACTACCGCCTGCACTACGTCCATGAACAGAAGCCGTCCATTCGCGCGATATATGACGCTTATTGCAAAATTGGATGGCCAACACATGCTTGACTTCCATGCACACTGTACGTGAGTGAGGTCCCACTGCAGCGCCATCTCATCACATATGCCGCATCCGCCCACTTCGACAATCCTCTCAAGGTGTAACCGCGATAGCGGGTCAGTGCACAGTCTAGATCAGTCTAGAAGTACCCCGCAGGCTTCACCAGGTCTGGTGCTGCAGGGCATTGGCAACCACACACTTGCTTGCAAGCTTTTGCCCTGAAAGGCAACAGTGCAGGTCGGCATGCCAGCAGCTGCAGTTCAAGCAAAGATTGATTACTTGCTGT